GTTTACAGGTTTAGTTGGAATGTTTTCAAGTCTTCTGTAGTGAATACAGAGGCAAAATATTTACTCATTACTTGACTGGTTCCTTATCCACTATTAACTCTTCATTTTCACCCTTTCGACAACTAACACTCACCTTAAGTTTTGCCTTTTTAGATATCTACAGAAACTGCTGTTATCTGTTTTCATGTTTCTAGCTAACATCCTCCCATAAGCTATTTATTAATCCTCTTTAGCCTTTTAGTCATTCTGTGCAGTTGTTTGCATTCTGACCAATCATCTGATCAGCTGCTCACCTTTGTGCATTGGCATAGTTTTTCCTGAAGTTTGATTCTTTTTTTTTTTTTACTATTTTAGTTAATTCTGAATGGTGGCTTCTCCTTTTAGAATTTATTTAAAGTAGGAATGGAATTAAGTTTTCTGAAATATCTCTTTAATTGCCTGCTATTGCTTCTGTATTGATCTGTATACTAGCCTAGTCCACATATATACATCTTAAATACTAGTCTTAGACCTTTTCTCCCTTTCAATCTGGATGTTAAATAAAATCAGATGACCACAGTTAACTTGAGGTGTCGATACTTTTGAGGTCATTAATTAATCCTGACACACTACACAATACCAAGTTATTGTATAGTCTGCTTAGTTTTGGAGAGTGTTGCTTCAAGAAATGAAATGTAAGGTGTTCTGTTAAATTCTCATTGAGGCTACTCTTACAAACCTGATGTTTCCAGTTTATGTGTAGATCATAGTCACCCATGGTTATTGCTGAAGGGCCATATCATCATTTTTGCCCTAATATATTTTCATTTATGAAGTCCATGAACATCCGTAATGCTCAAAGCCACATAGACGAACGAAAAGGATTGTCAATATCTTTTGACATAACTGATTTGGATGTGAATATAGGAGGCATGGTTAGTCGGTTTGTAGATAACAACAATACAGATGGTGTAGTAGGCAGTGAAGATGATTATCTGAGTACAACGGGGCCTTGATCAGATGGGCCAATGGGCCAAGGAGTGGCAGATGGAGTTTAATTTAGATAAATGTGACATGTTGCATTTTGGTAAGGCAAACCAGGGCAGGACTTGTACAGTTAGTGGTAGAGCCATGGGGCGTGTTGCCAGACAAAGAGACCTTGGGATACAGGTGCATAGTTCCTTGAAAGTGGAGTCCTAGGTAGCCAAGGTGGTGAGGAAAGCATTTGATATGCTTGCCTTTATTGGTCAATGCATTGAGTATAGGAGTTGGGACGTCATGTTGTGGCTGTACAGGACATTGTTGAGAACACTTTTAGAATACTGCATACAATTCTGGTCGTCCTTCTATAGGAAAGATACTATTAAACTTGAGAGGGTGCAGCAAAGATTTACAAGGATGTTGCCAGGACTGGAGCATTTGATTTCTCAGGAGTGGCTGAATAGTCTAGGCTTTTTTTTTTCTGGAGTGTTGGAGGCTGAGGGGTGACCTTATAGAGATTTGTAAAATCATGAGAGGCATGAATAGAGTGAATAGCCAGGTCTTTTTCCTAGGGGGGAGGAGTTCAAACTAAAGGGAATAGGTTTAAGGTGAGAGGGAAGATTTTTAAAGGACTGAGGGGTAACCTTTTAACGCAGAAGGTGGTGCGTGTATGGAGTTGCCAGAGGAATAAGGTGCCACTCAGGAGGCTGCTGAGTAAGATAAGGGCTCATGGTGTTAGAGGTAAGATGCTAGCATGGATAGAGGATTGGCTGTCTGGCAGAAAGTAGAGAGTGGGGATAAAGGGGTCTTTCTCAGGATGGCAGCCAGTGACAAGTGGTGTTCCACAAGGGTCAGTGCTGGGACCACAACTTTTCACTTTGTACACTTTGTTCACTTTATTAATTATCTAGATGAAGGAAATGTGGACATTCTGGCTAAGTTTGCAGATGATACAAAGATAGGTGGAAGGACAGGTAGTATTGAGGAGGTGCTGAGGCTGTAGAAGGACTTGGACAGGTTAGGAGAGTGGGCACAGAAGTGGCAGATGGAGTACAACGTGGGAAAGTGTGAGGTCGTACACTTTGGTAAGAAGAATAAAAGCATGGACTAGTTTCTAAATGGGGTGAAAATTCAGAAGTCTGAAGTGCAAAGAGACTTGAGAGGATCCTGGACTAGAACCCCCAAGGTAAACTTGCAGGTTGAGTCAGTAGTCAGGAAGCCAAATACAATGTTGGCATTTATTTTGAGAGGACTTGAATATAAAAGCAGGGATGTACTACTGAGGCTTTATAAGGCTCTGGTCAGGCCACATTTGGAGTATTGTGTGCAGTTTTGGGCCCCATATCTCAGGAAGGATGTACTGGCCCTGGAGTGGGTTCAGAAGAGGTTCACAAGAATGGTCCCAGGAATGGAAAGCTTAACATGTGAGGAACGTTGGAGGACTCTGGGATGAAACTCATTGGAGTTTAGAAGGATGAGGAGGGATCTAATTAAACCTTTTAGAATACTGAATGGCCTGGACAGAGTGGATATTGGAAAGATGCTTCCATTGGTAGGAGAGTCAAGGACCCGAGGACACAGCCTTAGAGTAAAGGGAAGACCTTTTTAGAATGGAGATAAGGAAAAACTACAGCCAGAGAGTGGTCAATCTATGGAATTCACTCCACAGAAGGCTGTGGAGGCCAGGTCATTGAGTACACTTAAGACTGAGAGAGAGGTTCTTGATTATCACGGGGATCAAGAGTTACGGGGAGAAAGCAGGAGAATGGGGTTGAGGAACTTATCAGCCATGATTGAATGGCGGATCAAACTCATTGGGCCGAATGGCCTAATTTCTGCTCCTATGTCTTATGGTCTTATAGGAAGTAGTTGAGTCTGGTATAATTACAACATTTAAAAGGCATCTGTTTGGGTACATGAATAGGAAGGGTCCACAGGGATAAGGGCCAAATGCTGGCAAATGGGACTAGGAGAGATTGGGATATCTAGTCAGTGCCAGAGGATCTGTTTCCATGCTGTATGACACTGTGACTCTATCAGTGCTGGCTGCTTCTACTACCTACTTTCTTCTTTTATAGCAATGTAATAACATCTGCCATAATTCAAGGCTCTTAAAAGTTTTTCTTTAACAGGGGTTAAATTAACTGGCCTATAATTATCCAGATTTGTATTTTATTGCTTTTTTTCCCTCCATTGACCCTTGATGCTTAATCAACTTTAGCCTATCTAATTTATCCATAATTTTCCTTTAATACATTAGAATACAGCCCATTCCAACCTCTTAAGGAAAACATGCAATTTTTTTTTTAGCAAAATACATGCTACATATAAAAGCCAAATACTGCAGAGGCTTGAAATCTGAAATAAAATCAGAAAGTGTTTTAAGTACTCAGCAAGTCATGCAGCATCTGTGAAGGGAGAAGCAGCATTAACATTTTAGGTCTTTGACCTCTATCAGGGCTATCAAAAGTCCTTGGAGCTGTTTAGTAGCTGAGTGTTGGGGTGAAAGAAGCAAACAAACAGTATTTCTTTGGTACATCTGTAAAATACTGGCGCTTGGAAACCCCAGGGTTACTGCCGCTGTAGTGAAACTACATTTTTGCTGGAATTGTGCCCAAGATTGTGTTGATTAGAGCTTTCAGGAGTCCCCTGGAATGCAGTCTTGGATAGCAAGGGTGAATTCATGGAAGCGGTGTGAATTTTGAGCAAGTTCTGAAGCTCAGTCTTCAAAAATGAATAATGTAAATGGAACAAGGTTTTGTGTAATATCTGGGATCTTTCTTGGTCTGAATTCGCTACTCAATGTGCTGTATGGGGTGTTCAGCACAGTTTATCTGTTAACTCTACTTGCCTTGTTGATTCCATCTGTTAGAGTATTGTGTGTGTGTACATTGTGTGTATAATTTATATATTAGGATATTTTGCTATTTAACTTTGTACTATAAAGATTATATTTTTCTCAAAACTGAAATCCTGTGGCTTTATTTTCAATACCTCATGGCAGCACGGTGGCTCAGTGGTTAGCACTGCTGCCTCACAGCACCAGGGACCTGGGTTCGATTCCACCCTCTGGCAACTGTCTGTGTGGAGTTTGCACATTCTCCCCATGTCTGCGTGGGGTTCCTCCGGGTGCCCCGGTTTCCTCCCAGTTTCCTCCCACAATCCAAATATGTGCAGGTGGATTGGCCATGCTAAGTTGCCCTTAGTGTTCAAGGATGCGTAGATTGGGTGGGTCTGGGTGGGATGCTCTGTGGGTCGATGTGGACTTGTTGGGCCGAAGGGCCTGTTTCCACACTGTAGGGATTCTATGATGATTCTTTTAGGCAATGTTTAAAATCCCCAGATATTTACTATTTTAAATACAAAGGTTACCATCCTGATCGTAACATAAATTAGGCAGCCTTCATAATCATCATAATCAGGAATCAAAACTGAATGACCTCTCAAATTAATAATATTAAAAGATGGTGTGTCAGCAGTTGTCTGGGGACATTTAGGGCACGAGATAATTCATTTATTTATTTATGAAAAGTTGGTCACTGTTACTTTGTAGTCCTGAGTGTCCATCTCGCTGAAGGAAGCTTTCTCTGACTTTGTAAATTACCAAATGCACACGAATTTATAATTTCTTAATTATGATACATTTTTAATAATAAATATGCAAAGTCAGTAGTTTTATAAGTTACTGGGTAATCTTCTGCAGTGTTACTCATAGTCAGAGGAAATTTTAGCTGGCTTGGTTGAGTTTGTAGCACCATTTCTGGAGCATGTGTTCCTAGATATTATTGTAGCATTATCTTTTGAATTCAGTAGACTAGGAATGATATAGGATTACCCATTTATTTCAATGTGGTAACATGTATTAAAAGACTGAAGTTTTGTTTAATAGTTTTTATTTTGTCATAAAACTTGGAATGTTTATCATTCAGAAGTGCATAAGTTTTTGTTTCTAAGTTTTGCAGTACTTTTTAAAGCTTTATTTAAAACTTATGAACAATCTTTATTTTTGTTTTTAATTGTCTTTTTCTTTTACGCTTTAGTTAAACTTTGATCTAGACAAAGGAGTTTTTCCTTTGGTCATTCGGGCAGTGGTTGACGAAGTAGATGGTAAGTAATACTGTTTAATATGCTGGAAGCCTAAAGTTTTCGATTGCAGAAACATCAGACTTTTTCTAAAGTAATGTATTTGTGGAAGGGTGTAATTTAACAAGATTAATTTTCGAATATGTATCTTGAAGAAAATTGAGATGTAGTGGTAGATTGGTAGAGTATTAGACTGTGGGTTTAGGTCTGCAATCATGAGTTCCTGATGCTTAAAAATATTTAACCAGCAGATATTTTACCCAACCATTTATGGTTTGAATTAACACAAGCCCAGTACAAGCATTGGACAATGTATTACCTAAAGTTTTTGAGAAGTTTAGGCTTCAGCGAGGCACACTGACTATGTTACCTAGCAGGGTGAAGAAACGTCTGCAACCAAACCCACCAGCTCGATGAGCATGTCTACAACCTCAACATATTAGCTTTTAAGAAATTGACTGAGAACCTATGCAGCAAATATCTGGGCACAAATCCTGTACTATTCTGCATTGTAACATTGCACGGTTCCTTCAATCTATTTGAAACAACAACCGTCTGACTCAAAATGCAAGAGTGCCACCAACTGAACTATTGTTGAAATTTATACATTGCTCCCAATCTTGAGCACCCTTTTATCAAGCAACAATATTGAATGCCTTTTGAAAATTCAGATTTTCTATTTTTGCAGGTTCTCCTTTATCAAAACACAATGATCTCTTTAGAAAGCACCAGCAGATTTGTCCAAACCCAATTTCCTTTTCATATGGCAATGCTAATTTTGATTCCCTTGGTATCTTGCAATCACTTGTTTAATGGATTCGAGCATTTTTCTGACAATTGAAATCTGGTTAACTGGCTTCCAGGTCCTAATTTTCAATTATCTCGTCTTGAATAGTAGTGTTACATTTACTGCATCCAAAATATTTTGGTTTGTTTCAGAATTTAAAAAATTTTGTAAGGTCAGTTAATTCATTATATCTATAGCAAGCTCTTTTAAAGCCCCAGGATTTATGCCATCAGGCCTCT